ACAAAGCAGGTTTTGATTGACTTGGTTACTCGCAAAATGGCAAAGTGGCAAGATTAAGAGATTTGATCAATCTGATGTTCATTTTTTTTTATAACTTAACAATCATAAATCATACTCAATCGTTAATATTCTAACAAAAAATCTAATGAAGTTAAATGCCAAATGCGATTTGTCAGATCCTTAATTTCCTACATATGTATGTCCTTTTTTTTGTTCCTTCTCCTTATAGCATGTAAGCCCATCCAAAATTCATTTGTGTAACACAATTAAAGAAGCTTTAAAAATAAGATTACGGTAATGATGGAGAAAAGTGCGGTTCAAGCAGAAAAGAGCAGCAACAAAGGTGCTTAACTTGCAGACCAACGTTTGCCTTTTTCCTAGTGGATTAAATTCAATATCAACCATGATTCCAAACACAATTGACTAAACAAATATTCAGACAAAAAAGGCACTTTCTCTCCCAAGTTCATATTAGATTATAAAAATAGTGATTTTAAAATGATTTTGTCAAGAATCACGTAAAGAGTTAGCAATTGTTGTTCCAAACAGATACATCCATTGCAAAGGATAAGAAAAAGACAACACAAGCCATGCCAAAATTAGAACAAGGAGATACTAACTTTACAAGGGGGTAAGCATGAGAATAACATGATAGGGCATGCTCGGGCAGCTACCACTCTGAAATCATTGAATAGCATGGAGGTTATTACGAATTATGTTTTTTCAGAAGATCAAAATCACTTCAAAACAAATTATTAAAAAAAAACTCAAACTGAGTCATTTTGCTAATGGAGACAAGTGAGTAAATTTTAATGGAAAAAAATAGTCTACGGGGAAAAAGAACTAGCCTGTGAAGAACTGAGGAAACTTGACAGGTAATATAACAGCTTCCTGCAATGCCTGCTTAGCACTCTCGAGGCCAGCAACATCATTCCACTTAACGTTCGGTTTTTCCCTTATGATGGCAGAAGTAAGCCCAGACCTGAGCTTAGCCTGCTCCGAATCTTCCCCTCCATCATTTCCATCCTTGGGCTTGGTCTTCGGCTTCGTGGCCACGGCCGCGTCCCCGTTGGAAGCCGGGCCAGAGCCCCCCTCATCAAGCACGGCGCGGATCTCCTCAGCACGACGGAGGTACTCAGTGAACTTCTGGGTGATCGCCTCCTTAATCTTAGGGTTCTTCTCGTACTTGAGGTGCGTCCTGAAGTACTCGAGGGCATTCATGTACAGGGGAAAGGCCTTGACATAGTTCCCAGCGTTATCCTCCTGGACCGCCTGCTTCACGTACTCAATCGCTTGCTCCTTGAAATTGCTGTACATCTCCCCTGCCTCGTTTTCTTCCCCCTTCAGCGGCCCCAATCACATAAACTTTATTCCGTGAATTATATAGAAGATAAATCCCTAGATCAGAGCAAAGGGACGATACCCTAACGGCCGATGCAAGACGGAGAGCAAAATCGGTTTCGGCGAATTGGGATAGATCCGCAGAGGACCTTGGGGAGCAAGGGTTTGACGGATTGGGGAGTGAAAAAAGTGGGAAACAACGTGAGAAGAAACGAGGCCGCTGATTATCGAAGAACGGAGAAGGAAAATCGTGTTTTGCCGGAGTAGGTCGAAGAAAGAGTTTATTGGGGATATTTTGAGAAAAATTCACTAATTTTAAATTTTGATGAATTTCGGATTTTTAATTTTAAATTAGTTGGAGCATAAAATAAAAGAAATTAATCAAAAGTTCAATTATATTCATCTCTAAATTAATTAATGACGTTGAGACTCAGGCTTCGTTTGAGACAGCTTATCCGCTGCGGCGGATCTCTAAATTAATTAATGACGTTGAGACTCAGGCTCCGTTTGAGACAGCTTATCCGCTGCGGCGGCATTTTGAAAACGTCGTTTCGGCGGCACCGTTTGGAAACTGTGTTTGAACAACTTATCAAAAATTGTAGATGGTTTTTTACACTAAATGAGGAATATGGGTCGCATCCTGCAATCCGTGTTTCCAAATAAACGACTTGTATGGATTAGCACAAGTTGTCTCAAACGCACCATTATTTCTGCTGACTGAAAAAATTGATTAGAATCTTCTAGATCAATCGTCTTTTCATTTCGAATTTCAAATTATTATCGAAAATTAATTAGATTCTAAGTAAAATTAGAGAAGATGAAGAAATAAATGTGTTGTTAACAATGAATAATATATGTTAATTAAAAAAGAAAGGATTAAAAAATAAAAGTCCTTTTAAGCAACCTTAGATTTCTTGTAGCAATCACACAAATTTTAATTGATTAAAGGTTAGAAATAAATTTGCTTTGATGAAAAAATAGTTTTATGGCTCTAAAAATTCTCATGCGGTGTAATTATGCAATTCAAGTTT